TTATTCAGTTGGATATAGTGTTTGGTAATATACATTTTGTAAAGTTATTAATGAAATAATACTACATGCATAATAGTACATATGTTACTGTTGATTAAAACAATTAAGGCCTAATATAGGAACCTTTCAACAACCAGTTTTTGAAAGTAATAAAATTAATAAATACAATACTAAATGGTCATTCAAGCATATTGAATTTGAAAAAAACATGGGGATTATTTATTAATTTAGTGAGCCTCTTTTAATTATATGGTCGTTAAGCAGTGAGGTAACCGCTTAACGACAATTCTAGTAGTTGGCACCAAAACCTTTTATTTCAGTTTTCTTTCTCTTTTCCTTGGCCCTTTTTATATAATAGCATTTTTACTCTTCCTTATAATTATTTTACTTTTTAATAGCGCAGTATTTCAAACAACATTAAATGCTTCTGTTAGCTCTATAAATGTTTCATTCCTTTTTCTATTTTTCATTTGTGTGTGTGTGTGTGAAGAACATACCTTAAACATGTTTATTCTCTAAGTGTGCATATATCACTTTTTTTTTCTTTCCCTTTTCTTTGTAAAGATTTATAATTATTATATAGATTATGTATTTACAAGACAAGTGAATTGTTTTGATGTTATTTTTTTAAGTAATTGTAATATTGAAAAGTGAATGTGAGATAATACCTGTATCACTTTATAGTTGTTTAGATGTCAGTGGGATATGTATATGCAGTCGTACTGTCTGTTGTTGCTTCATTAGGGAGATTTGAAGACCCACATGTTTATCAATAAAACATTGCTATCATAATAAGAAAAGTGTTTTTAAAAATATAAATTAAGAATGAAAATAGTTAGCATACTATAAAAATAAATAAACTTCTTCAGTAAATATTTATTATGTTACATTCAATCAAAAAGTACAAATATCCAAATTATTATAATAACTTTTCTACTTATATTTTTGACATAATTATTTATTGACAGCTTAAATTTGCTTATTTGAAAAAAAAACAAACAATTACATTATAAAATGAGTAATATGTTAAAACCCTTAAGTTGCTTATTTAGCTCCTTTTTGAAAGTTTTTGACGACATTTTAAGTAAAGGAAAGAGCATTGAAAAACACACGTGCCCTGTCGTCACTACATGAAACCCCAGAAAAAGTAACCAATGTACGAGCATCTGAATATGACTTTCTTATCAGTCCTCACAATAAATCTACAAATAATTCTAATACAAATGTAGCCAAACAACGAGCATCCCACACATACAGTGCGTTAACTAGAGCTAAGGTAACTTATACCTGCACTCCAGTTATCGCACTGTGCATTAATGGATATACGATTTAACTCCTGACACATGTTTTCTTTTTTTTCAAAAACATTGTTTTCCTTGCAGCGGTGTTCAAAAATGCTTCAGGACATCGTTCCTTTATGAAACTTATAAAAACAGAAAATACACTTGAAATATTGAGTGTGTTCATTGTTTTGAGCAATGAATTTGTAATATTAGACAAATACAATTTGCTTTGGGTCAAATTGGCAGTGAAATTGTATCTAGACGATATAATACCGATACGATTGTTTTAAAATTCATATCGTAAAAAGAGGAATTCTTGAGCAATTGAATTATTTTTATATCTTAGTAGTTGAATATTTGTTTTTATTACATTTCTTGCAGTTGATTTAACCATGCAATCAGAAAAGTAGTACAATCGGTATCATAACTAGAAAATGCTATATCAATATCAGGAAAGGTGATTCAAGTCTTTGTTTAAAAGTTATTTCAAATTCGTTAACACTGGCAAAGCAAATCAAAATCAAGACATCCATAGCGTTCAAAATTTGAAAAAATAGCGTTTCATTCAACACAATATATCACAAAATAACACAATGATAAGAACTTGTAATACTCGTTAGCGTTATGGGAATATCAAAATAAGTTTATGGCTATTAAAAAATCAGATTTGTTAGCCTGATAGATATTCTCTCATTCAATAAAATACCAACAGTGATAAAGCTAAAATAAATTATGTGAACATAGCATTTACAATTCTACATTAAATTGAAATAAAGAGTTTGCACTTTGCAAATATTTTATGCAGCAACAGAACAATCATACAGCAGTTAGTGTTGTTAAATCATGATCTAATAATAGATTGTGTTAAGAGACAGACTAATAATAAATAAAAAAAGCATAAGTGGTTACTTGTGTTTATGAGACCTGATATAAAATTCATTATCTTACTTAATCATATGTTAAAGCTACTGACTCACACATTGTAGTTTGATGCTTTCGAAATAAAATGTCATCAAAAGATAAAATTGCACCATAGGCTCGTACATTTATATAGAACTAGATGATTGTTACATGTCTTGTCCGATGAAAAAAAGATCTAAGTAAAGTATTCGCAATGTTTATCCTTCTGTAATTTCAAGCCGTTGCAACGTTTTATTTTGTTAATATTGACTTACATTATATAAACACACCCGTTAATGGATAAGTAGATCAGTCAGTTGCGTGCAGAAAAATTGATCACTTGGTAAGTTTTTTAACCCTGCGATCGATTGCTGCACGATTTATTATAGAAAATTATGTCTATAATCAGAGACAAAATGAAGAAGATATCTTTTATTATCCAGTTTAAAACTGACATTTATATAGTACGATCTACTTGCAATAAGCTGCCCTACTCGGTACATGCTAACGGGTTTGATAAAAAGGTGTTTATATCTGTGTCAAGTGAAACATACAAAAAAGCTCGATTTCGCTATTCCTTTCATTGTCTGTTTAAAATAGTCGTGCCGAAAATTCTTATATAAAAGCAAACTATATATCGCCTAAATCTTTAACCACCTAGGCAATCATTTCTATTTTATGCGTTTAGCATAATATCGTAGTGGTAGAGAGTTCGCTCAGTGATTGTAGACACCCTAGTTTGAATCCTTGTCAAGGCTTTTTTTTTTTTTTTTTTTTTTTTTTTCGTTTTAAGGTTTTTTACAACAAACTGAATTTTAGTTCCCCTTGGATCTCATTCGTACAATGCTTTTGAGAACTTTTATTGATTCAACAGGTTAATTTAAAAGATAACACAAGTCGTGATTATGGTGAGAAATGAGTAATGGAAGAAATTATATATTATACAAATATGCAAAAATTATATAATATGCGGCGAACAGAATTCAGAGTTTCAAACAAAATAAAGTTGATAATACATTTCCATCTGTTAAATGACAGTTAGAAATCAAATTCAATGTACATTCAATTTTGCTGAACTGTCATAAGTTTAACATCAATTTGTACAAAACATGATGAATAGGAAACGAAAAGTTACGTGACACGCAATAAGAGAGATATTCCGAAAGTAAAAAAAAAAATATTGAAAAACATAATTTGCACAATTGCAGATTTAAACTCGACAAACCACTCTCTTACCACTACGCTACTCGGATTTATCTGTCTATTTCTATATTGCAATCAATTGCAAAATGTAATATTTGAAGAACTTGAACAACCCATTATATCAGAATGGCACATCTGAATTATATAAACGTTATCGTGTTAAACTTATAACAACTGTTAGGCTATCTCATGGAAACTGCAAATTCACTTCTCAGCATATTTATTAACTGTAGACAGTTATGCTGATGTTTTTAGACCCGTTTTGCGAGGGTAGCTTATATATCCCTGTAAATAACGACCACTCTTTGACAAACCTTGATTGATACACCAGAGTAAAAACCACTTGTCGTTAAATAGATAAACACAGAATCCCCGAGAAAAGCCCAACACAACAAAATTGAAAATGTTGCAGGCTCGGTTTGATTGAGCCTGTTCATGGACGGTACTGGAAAGTGCAAGTTACCGTCCACGCCCCTTAGCACCGGCTTAAGCAGAATTCAACATTTAAACATGAAATAGTAAAATTTTGAATTTAGAAACATCCGCAGATGTGTTCATACGGCGGTCATCATGGAACCTTCAATGTGACACAGAAGTGCCATTCCATGAAAAGCGGCGTATGGTCCCCAAGTAATAAAAAGCGTGTGCCCTAAACGAGAAAAACAATGGGCGGAACTAAATAAAATGGAATTTTGCAAGGGATCAGAGGTTATGAAGCCTGCGTATCACAGATAAGACGTCAAAAGACACATTTAAAAAGCAGGCAACATATCCTAAGGGTGATTCAACATTATTCAAGTAGGAATAATGGAACCACCCAACTAGAAAATGCCGAAAAGTTGAAACTAAAAATACTACAAGCACAACAATAATGTCGTGCTGAACGATCTTCAAGGATCGAAAATATAACATCATTGATTAAATGTACGGGGAGACTTTTTACAGCCGCCACACGGCACAAATAACACGGATGTGATCATAAAATAGATAAATACAGAATCCCCGAAAAAAGCCCAACACAACAAAATTCAAAATGTTGCAGGCTCGGTTTGATTGAGCCTGTTCATGGACGGTACTGGAAAGTGCAAGTTACCGTCCACGCCATAAAGGTCATTATGGTCTCTACTTTGGTTTATTTTATATTTGCAATATGTTTTTTACTCCTACTTTATTCAACATAAATATATTGATCTGGTTTTCGATTTGTAAATATCAAACTTTAAATCATTTCACGGTTATAATTTCTAACATGTTTTATTTTTTTATTTTCATTTATTGGATAAGTTAGTTTTTATTTTGTGGAGCGGTAACAATAATTGATCATCCCTTATATTCCCTCTATGAATTAAAACCGATGACCTACATTTCACACACAAACAACATTTCATATGTTAAAAATCAACGAAGATGGTTGATAAAATTTGTTGAAATATCTTTGAAATGTCGATATTTTGTTTACAATTTTTAAATATACATATTTTGATGAAGAAATCTCTAGATGACAAAAATAATATTCATACAAAATCGTCAGTTTTCTTTGCTTTTCAAAATTTCTATTTTTAATTTTACATCAGGTTTTCTTCTCATAATTATACGGTATATTGTATATTTCAGAACTGGTTTAACGTTTAAACAGCAGAATGAGTTATGCTTTGATAACAAACCGAGAACAGAATACATTATATCCTGGTTGATAAACATGATGTAGAAGGACTAATGCAATTTGACAGAAGCATTGATGTTCGTTTAAAAAGAACTTCTAAGCCTATAAAATGTTATATCTCACTCAAAACACTCGTTCGAGTAAACGTGATTAGGCCATTTATTTAAAATCAAATATGAATTATACGGTTCCTGTAAGCCCTTACAGAAGCGAGACACTTCAAACAATAAGTGTATGGTACGGTAAATGGCACGGTTATATAAGTCTTGTAATATGTGTTATTGGAATAATTCTAAATCTTATAAACATTGTTGTACTTACACGAAAGAAAATGCAAACACCGATAAATTGTATATTAACATGGCTTGCTGTGTTTGACATTGCAACAATGGCGTCATATGTTCCCTTTGCATACCATTTCTACTGTCGATATTCAACATTCTTTATATCATCTGACAAAAATAGCAAGTCTTGGATGACATTTCTACTAGTATATTTGAACTTTTCCGCTACGACACATACAATAGCAATTTGGCTTGCTGTTGCATTGGCAATATTAAGACATAGACATCTGCATTCGCCGGCTAAAGGAAGTTTAACGCGCATGCGCCGACTTATAAGAGCACGTGTAGTGGTTTGTATTATTGTGTGTGTTTCGATATTAATAATGATTCCAAATTACGTTATTCATAAATTGGAGAAACTAGAGTATCGAAATAATACAACAATGTACGTTTTTGAAGACTGGAACTTAGGCACACAGCATACAAAGCCTATTACAACTATTGCTTTGATAATGTACAGTGTACTTGCAAAAATATTGCCAAGTCTTTTAATCATGCTATACGGTGGTTTGTTACTGAGGACGTTGAGTAAATCAATGAAAGTAAAAAGGCGACTATCGGAAGGCGGGGCAAGCCTTAGTTATCAAAGGAACAGGAATCCTTCAAGAACAACAACAATGCTACTGACTGTGATTGTGCTTTTTCTGGTGACCGAGCTACCACAGGGGATTCTTATTTTGTGCTCTATATTTCTGGATAAGTTCTTCGAACATATTTACATTCCACTTGGTGACGTTATGGATATTCTAGCGTTGATAAACAATGCCATTAATTTCGTTCTTTACTGTACAATGAGTCATGAATTTAGAAGAACTTTTGTTAAACTATTTTGCTCTTGTTCAGTGTTTGGTTTATCAACAGGCCAATTTTTACCATCGCCCAGTAAAAACAATAATTCAAACGATCTATCTATTTCCATCAAGAGTGTAAATCAAAAACCAAATTCATGCCTTACTTTGTATACAAAGACTATTAACGGCAAGGGAGACAGTATACTGTAAATAATTTTGTTTCGTCCCGGTAATTTCGTGTATGTTGTGAATATTAGGAAAGTCATGCATTGATGTTACGGCTGCAATACTGTGTTTGATGCGAACAAACAGCTTTATTGTGTATCACTGATGAAATATAAAAATCCTTCAAGGCGTATATGAATGCCAATCATTCCTTAGCCCGTGGTATTACATCAATATAATAAAGTTTAACTTAAATAAAACGATACAATCTAGAAACACTCATTTATAAAACTACTGTGACATTTTGTGTTTATTTCTGCCATCTTTACGCTGTCGCACAAAGGAACAAAGCAGGAGTAACGACGCCCTTCAGTCAAAATCATATAGATGCAATAAGATTTAGAATCTGAATGGACTAATAATATGTAAAAAGTATTCCGTGTACTTGTATTTATCCCGTACACTGACATTGACGTTAATGGTCAAATATACTACGAATAAATATGAATCTTCTAGAAACGAATCGCTAGCAAACATGAAGGTTTCAATAAAGCTTGTCACACATTTTGTCTTCAATTATTATTAAAAACACACATTATGCCTAACAGAAAATGTTCAGGCCAGTTTCAGTTAAATGTAAGATATTGATAGTGTTTACACTCCGAATTATGTTATTGATATTGTCGTACTTTGTACAACTATCCGCATTGAATTCAGAATGTTTATCAATTTGTGTTATTATTATGGGCTCGAATACATTCAATACTCACTGGTATTCTTCCAAGGTCGTTGACCTCAAGCCATTCGCCCTTCACCGCTGTAGTTCAAATCTCGCCAGGTTGTTTCGATTCTTCCGAGCGATGAAGCTACCCACATAGCTACGGAACGTCAGTGGTTCTACTCAGGTTGGTGACCGTTCGTGCGGAACATACTGCACGGAGGAACATCTGAGGTCTTCCTTCTTTAACAAAAGCTGGAAGATCATTATATGACCTCTACTGTGTTGTACGACGTAAAACCTGACAACAACAAAATATAGCTAGCATTATTGTTATTATTTTGAAATTGATACCATTTCTTTCTTAAACAAAAAAACATAAAATGGTATGTTAGTTCCGGATGTGATTTCGTTTTATGATTTGCTTTTGTCTAACAAATCCATATAATTTTAAGTTCAATCAAAATAATAATAATCGCATATGTTACAATTACTTTCATATAATTCCTTTGGCTAATCAGTAACATTATGATGCCTGATTTGTGCCACGTCGTATGAGCATGTTTTCATTGAAAATGGCGTGTTTCCTGTTGCCTGGCGACCTTTCGCCCCGCCACATGAAAACACGCCACATACAGTGTACCGTGTCTGTACGTAAAGTTTGTCGTATCTTTGTACGGCATAAAATCTTTACAGAGTTGTTAGCTGTAGACTTTTTCTATGGTATACTTATAAACTCAGGATACTATCAATCTTATTACTTTCCATTTCTTTCTAAATGTGAAGCATATGTGTAGTTGCTGTGCGCATGCCTTAAATGAAGACAAAAGGTGTGATTTTGTGTTTTTGCGTGGTGCCCCGCCATGCAAAGATACGACAGATTATAGGCAAACACACGAGATTCAAGATGTGGCGGGTATTTGCATGACCGGTTTTCTTGTATCCTTGTGCTTTGCATTTTTGCCCGACGACGCGAGAAAAGTATTCTTGTGTTTTGGCGAAAGGTTGTTACACGAAAACGCGATAAAATTATGATATGTCGTATTTTCGCAAATAGATGGATAAATAGATGTCTTTTCTTGCAAATAGATGTATAAATATAAGAATAAATGTATTATGTCAATAATTTATTGACGTCCGCTTTCAAATTGGCTTGTTCAAATATCAATAAACCATAGTTACGTAATCTTACTATAACTATTAACCTGAAATACTGATTATTGTTTAAAGATATATCTGCTATGGATACAATCGAAATAGACTTGCTTGCTGACGATACTCTGCTTATTTCATCTAATTTCAACAAGTTATTATATGTAACATGTGCTTTGTTTAAACTTCATGCCACATAAGTTTATAAAAAGAGAATTTGAAACATATTGCGAAAGAGATTTAGTTAGTCTGTAAGTTAAACATATATTTGTGACAAATTCAGTGTGTAAATGTATCACTCATGTTATCAAAGAAATTAATTCTATTTCGAATAATATTATAAACAAAACATTTTTATGTAAAATCAATTATGGAGGAATAATGACATCAAAGTAAGATAAGATTTGCTACGTGTAAAGGTTCATTCAATTGTAGGATAATGATTACGAATTTATGGTTAAAATATTGATTTCTAAAACAGTTTTCCTACATTTGCAGATATTATCGTATAAAAATATTCTTGCGGCAAAATATTTTATCTTATCTCTATGAATATTTCAACAAATGACAAACGATTGAACTTATTTATCCGTAGGAAGTTAAGTAAAATAATTAATGATTATTTTAGAATAAACGCAACTTAGTGTGAAAAAGAGTGTATATTAGACATTATTTCGTTTTTCTGATGTCTTTATATCTGTATGTCTGTCTCAATATAAAATAATAGGAACGTCAAAAAAGAAAAAAGAAACATTTATTATTGAGAGGATTAAGATCCAAGATTTGAGAACTAATTTGATATAAGCAATTGTCTTAAAATCGATATTTGAACCTCTAACTATGATATAATAAAGCATTAATACAGTACGGATTACATCAGTTTTCAACGGCTTAAATTACAAGGTGCTATGTTAGATCTAGTTTCATTAAAGTTTCTTTCCTTTTAATATTCAAGACTTTGCTGCCATAACAAAATTAGGAGAGATTAAAACAGAGTCATCTTAATACTTTAGAAAAGTTTAAAAAATAACATTGTTAACCTTGTTTAAAAATACTAAATTAGAAATTAAATAAAATAATCTTCAAAATTAAACATAAAAGGTTATTCATTATGATTTTATACCTTATCGTAAGAAAATTAATCACTCAGAACAATAACGGGAAAAAAAATATTTTTAGTTCAATTAAAATGATTACATATGCTTTCAAATTTATGGCAAACAAATTAATTTTTTGTTATCTTATATATACATAACGAGAAATATATTATGTTTGTTTTTACTTTGGAAATATGGGTTTCATTATATACTTACTTTAATATGCGCAAATCATATTGCCAGTAGCTGTCAGGAGAGTTAGGCCAATTATTAATTTCCATTTTACCAAATTATCATTTTTATCAGTTGCTGAACATGCAGCAACAATGCCAGAAACTACAATAAACTAAAAAAAAATTCGGTTATTGCAGTTTGTCTTCAATACATATTTAATATTAATTTTGTAGAAAACAAAACTAAAGCTTTGAATTCAAAATCGGCAAACGTACTCGTGTATACAAACATAAACTTTAGTTTTCATACAGACATATAGGTAGAATATAAACTGTAATATAGGGAAAAAACTATTTTAACTGTACAGGGATTAAAGATAAGATAGTGTCATTACTTTGTGAAAACAAATAAAAAAACTTGAGCGTGTTCCTTGAGCATGAAATTTCCTGTAAACTCGATTTTAACGTTACGAGTTGTAGATGATATCAAGTCCGATATTTCTGAATAACATAGTGCGGACAAATCAAAACTTGAACATCGTTAAAGTAACTTCAAAGGCATCATATGTGCATGACTCAGTTTAGTATAACTAAACAAGAGTGTACTGCTAATATACTGGTTTTGATGGAGTTTTCTTAATCTTTATGTGCAATAATCCGCGAAAATCCGTGAAAATTACGTTTTTATTGACGTTTCTCTTCATCTAAGATTATTAAATAGTCGACATGCTGATAATAAACCACATGAAAAGTATACGAGATACCCGAATGTTTTTACGTCTTAAGTTTATACATGTAATACAATGGTTTAATGTGATATATATTGGATGATATAATTATAACCTAATGGGTTTCGAGTTTAAAAACATGTTAATCAGTGCGTTAATGTATTCCTTTATAGGAGCTTTAACATTCTCTATGAGTTAAGAATTTGAATTCCTCACATAGATCATCTTGGGCGATTTGTAAAGATAACAAAGAAATGCACTAAGATATTATTTGTGTACGTATATATAAGCGAATATTTAAATTACATACCTTTACATGCGTTTCATTTTAATTTTGCACACACACTGTTTGTCGAAACCTACATCAATTGTTACATATAGCTCGAAAAAACAGTTACTGTCTCGTCAGATCAAACCTTAGAATAGAGTCCCTGTATAAACCTTGGTTACCGCGACAGATTATAATCATATTTTTATCATACTCAATAATTCAAAGATATTTAAATCACATATTTCAAACAAAACTTTGTTTACAGACAGATTGAACATGCATCCTCACTCTGTAAAAATATTTTAGAAGCGGATGCATGGTACATTAGTTTGTCTAATCACGCAGCAGTTGTCTTGCAAATGTCTTATCTTTGTTTCAAAATGTGATCGAAGCATTAGAGTTGCATCATTAGATCGTGAAAGAGAATTGTATTTCATGATATTTGTCGAGTTGTACTTCCTTATAGTTATCAATGTAGTATTCCAGCATTAAACTTGCTAATGACTTGAAACTCGATAATTGTTAAATTTCAATTGTTATGTATGTCCTAATGTTTTCTTTCATAAAGACACACAAAAGAGACGTTTATATATAAATGTTCTTGGAAAAGTAAACATATAAAATAAGTATGTGTAAGTTTTCATAACCATAACAATTGATTCAATATGATTTTGAAATGCATATTATCTTATAAAGTAAGTCAAAATATCGAGCAATCAAACTTGCAAATTTAAGGTTTTGTTTTATGAATGACATTTATTTGATCAGAAAGTGAAATAAGATTTTTTAAAGAGGCAAAGCCTTGACACATTTCATAAATCAAGTAAACAACATCTACATTACGTTGCCCCGCACTTCATGTCAGTGTCGTTATATTTTGATGGTCCTTAGTTTTGCAACCTTAGCCTTTCTGTTATATCTTATGTACAGACCTATTCTGCAATATATGTTGTTAAAGTTTATCTATTGTTTTTAAGGGAGTTATGAACCTGTTTCAGATTAATATAAAACGATACATGTTGTTAATGAAGCAGTATTTGATAGCACCAACTGACATACTCAAGAATAAAATGAAAACATGTGACATAATTAAACAAAACTGGTTAATTGCTGTCATTTCCTTCTAAATATGGCAAGACAGAAATTGATAAACTTACAATAAGGAAACGAGCTTCTTTGTTTTTCATGCTGGTAAAAGAATAAAATATGAGCAATTAAAATATGAATGCTATTTCAGATTACTTTGATCAACAGTAAGTCTTTTTACAATCAATAAATGTGTTGTATTTATTAATCATTTCCTGCCAATCTTTGTTTGTTGTTTGTGAACTCATAATGTTGTAAGATACTGATATAACAAGAAAAGAATTGCTGAAGGATATAGCTTTCAAAAAAGAAATAATGGATTT